GCTCTTGCATGTATGAGTTGTGACCTGTTGATTTGATGTGTGTTGCTTACTGGATAAATCAAAATGATTCATCCCTATGTGTAAATGTTGGTATTTTTACATCTATCTATAATGCATTCCTATGAGGCTGAATAGCTCTTGTACTTTTTGATGCCTCCTCTAGATGTGCATAAGTATAAGCAGGGACTACTTTTTGCACATTGGTGTAGATTTTTCATGTCTGCACTACTTTTAGTACCCCTAACATGGATGCATAAAGTGTCACTGTTTTTCAAATGCCCCTCACATGCAAGTGCTATGATTTATCATAAGTCATAGGCCAGGCCTAGTAGAGTAGGGTTAATGATTATTTCTGAGATGAGATATGCATATATCTATATAGCGGTACCGATAACTTTTTTTGAGATGGATCATTTTCTCATCGGCTAAAAACTTGTGGGGTTCTCTCCTTCATGCCTGTGCATCACTTTTATTGGGGTACCTGCAGATACAAAGATGCAAATGCACGAGTAATGGGTTGGTTTATTGCCATTAGTGGAGATGATTAAATTATATCACTCTTTTTCGATGGATAGAGATTTGATGCAGTGTCACGTTTTGGCATAAAAGATGGTGGCTTTAGCTTTTTGAGCGACAACCCACTACTACTTTTTCGTTAAGTTCATTTGTTGAATGATCCACGAGGAGTTGCTCTAGAAGCAATTGTTGGTAGAATAAAAATGGTTGCCCGCTATCCTAAAATGAAATCATATCCCCTTGCTCAAGTCCGCTCCCTAGCTGACTCTGCTACTATTGCAAATATTGAGGATACTGATAATTTTTAATTTTAGAAGAGTTATGTACATCATAATACATGGGAAGATGGTGGATATAAATTTTGAAAATAGAGAGATTGTTAATGTAATTTTAATGAAGCTCATGAATGGTTTCTATAACTTGAACTCCTTTTGTGATATATGCAATTGGGTGACAAGTATTTCCCTTTGGAGAAGGAGATCACAGCAACAAGGGTTCTTTATCATTATTGTTGTTATTATTTTGGCATATATGTTCTTATTTATATATATGTTATGTAGAAATGTTTGGTATCATCTGTTATTATTCTGCTACACAGGCCATGCCTCGGCCGAAAATGACTTTCTATTTGAGAAAGTCAGTCTGGTGTTGGGAAGAAAAATATGTTACTGATAAAGAAGCAGTCTAACCAACTAAGCTAATGTGAATGCCTGATTTTGTTGTTTTGTCACCATGCAGCGACTTCAAAATTATACTTTTGGTAAGCAGGGAGAGTTGAGCCTACCATTGAACAGCTTCATGTTCTCTTTGCAATTGATTTAAGAATTTCGTCATTTCATATATGCAATTGATTTCAGATATTCTCATGCGATACTCAAGAGGGAAATCTGCACTTATGTTTGGTTTGACAGAAAAGCAGCACAAGTAGCAGCTCAGCGAGTCTCTCACATATTCATGACTTTCGGTCAATTGAATGCATTCAGTAATAGTAAAGAATAGCAAGATCGATTGAGGAAAGCCTCTCTATCATGCAGTGACAAGAAAATGCAATCATACATCCAATATGGTGGTATGCGAATAAACTTTGTTCTGTTTTCGTAGAAAATTGAAGTCTTTCTTCAAAGCAATAACAATGATTGTGGGTGAGTTTCCATTAGTGATTAGGTGACTACTAGAAAATGGCTTTTATTTATTGTTGGCTTTCGCAATGGTAGGCTTTGCCTAAAGAATCGGAATCTTGCAGGAGTCCTTGCAGCTAAAGATTGTTGAAATGTTGCCGTCTCTTGCTTCACACTCTGCAATGATTCCACTTACGTCACCTGTAGTATCATTCCTATGCTTAACAAAGTTGCTAAAAATTGTTGAAATGGCTTTTATTTTTCTTTAATTGTTGTGGTGGTCTCTCTTGTGGATTTTTGTAGTACTTATGTGGTTTTACAGCATGGGTCTTCAACTATAATTTAAAGTCATAGATCTTCATGTTTTAACTTTGAACTGATGTCGCATTTACTTTAAAAGTGGCATCCATAATTACATCAAGAAACCATCATTTATACTTCATTCTGGCACTGCCTTGCAATTTTTCCTTGAAATGTTAGAGGAACAGGTTTCACGTCATGAGCCTTGTGTGATCTGTCTAACTACCAAACAAGTTGTAGTTGTTTTTATGTCAAACTCAAATAATAGTATAGTTGTTTCTTGTCGTATGCCTAATTCTATGTTTCTCTTGCTACAGGTTGGGTTCCTCTGTCTCTTACTCTCAATGATCGAGCTCTTGGGAGTCTGCAAATAAGTTTTTCATTGTGATCTTTGTGTTGCTGTTTAATGCTGCAGAGCCGTGCTGTTTTTTTTTCATAGAAAGATAAAAAATGGAAATGAAAAATTGACTACTGAAGAACATTTGAATGATAGCTGACTGGAGAATTAGAAAAGTAAACACGAGGAATTAATATAAATCTGCGGCTTTCAAAAACTACTATTAATTAGTTGGTCGCATGCAAGGTTATTAGGTTCACTATAGGAGCTTTGCAATTAATTTGGCTTACCTTGGTATGTCAGGGAGCTGGGACTTGAGACGCTTAAGAAAGAGGTGGAAGGTTAACGAGATTATTAAAGGCCTTCTCCTGATTCACTTTTGCTTCAAGTAACTAGGCTGGGAGTTATTGATTATAGGTGATACGTGTGTTGGCCTGCCTTCCTTGCTAACAGTGGGTTATTTTGTTGGAGGGAAGTATACCGTAATAAAATAAAACTTAGCATGTGACAGGGGTAAACTATATAAACTAGATCCCTGTATCATTATAATTCTGTTCATGATTAAAACGTCCATCCTGTAATCAAAGTGTTATTAGGACCACTCTCCGGATGATAGCACGGAAGACATGTTCCCAAGAATGCTTTGCTGACCTTGACACTGTCTGGAACTTCACGCCTCCATTATGAACAGCTCCAGAACAAGATTGGATCAGAACATGCAGAACATCAAAGAAACGAAGCTTTTGGTGGGGCAAATTGAAGGTTTTATTACAGACCAAGCTGCAAAAATCGAATTGGGCTAGTTAAGGGCATAATATTTTCTAGTCATTTCTTACACTTGGTTGATGATTGAGAACCTCAAACAACTCATGTCATAGCGTCTCACTTGTGCCTCGAATCTTCGATTCTAAGTGCTATAATAGATTTCCTTCGACTTAAGATATTCACTGTATTTAGATGTTGCTTGCTTGATTGTTATTGGCGGTTTCACTAGAGTCTTGTAGCTAACAAGGCCCAACCTTTTCTTCATTCTTCTTACACACGGGAGGTTGCTTGCTAAAGGGTCAACTGATTTTGTGCCAGATAGAATAATCTGCAGTCAGCCGAGCCGATTCCATTCGAGATGTTTGCCAGAAAAACCCTGATAGGGGTGTTGACCTCATCTTGCCTGTTTCCGCATGTGATATCGATATATCGTTTTCTTGATTCTTCTTGTCTGGTGCATGCTTTCTTGAGATATCGTGCTTTTGTGTTTGCATAACAGTCTCGCATTGAGAGCCAAGATCCGATAATTAAATCTATTGGCTTGCAAAGCCTTGCCCACCCTTGTGAAGCTGATTTAATTGGTAGTTTCCATTTTACTTTGCAAAGGATATCTTGCTATTGAAGGATTCAGTAAACTTTGTGAACTAAATTTCTTTGGTTATAATTAAATTATTGGTTGTTACTATGTATCTTATTTGTTAATGTTTTTACACTGCTTGGATTGTCATTGAAAAGCATGTGAAAGATTACCTTGCAGGTCCAATTCCGGCACAAAGGTAAGCATGCCTGAGCAGAAGCTTTGATCCCAAAGTAATATTGCGTTTGGTATTCTGGAATCCTGGATGTGGCAGTGGAAGTGAGAGTAGAAAGGGAATCATAATTTTGTCATGTTTGATGTTGTTGAAAACTATTCCCCAGGGAATCAAGATTCCACAGATTTGAAGGATGGGCTTCCACCGCTAGACCCATGTAATAGTGATGTGCTTTACATGGAAACAAAAATTTGAGCACCTATTGAAAAATTGATCAGAAGGACCTTTTTCTCTCTTCTCTTCCCTCCCTCTCCGTCCTCCATCTCTCTCTCTCTCTATTTTTAACAATTCTTATTTCTTGGTGTATTTTTAGTCTTTTCACACCTTCACGATTCCTTTCTATTCCTTCGGTCCTTAATATAGAACCCAATTGTTGAATTAGTTTTGGTCATAAATATAAGATCCATTTCTCATATTTATCAATTTTCTCTAAATTACTCCTATAGATACTCCCTCAACCATAATCAAGTAGAAGAGGAAGAAGGAGTATTAAAAAAGATTATAGTATTTTAGGAAAAACTTGTCACATTTCTTATAATTAACTAACTTACCTAATTTCTTTAATCTAATTAAATTAGTTAAATGAATCTTATATTAAGGATCGGAGGAGTATTATTCTAATAATCATAGTGTGATAGAATTCCACATACTTTCCCTTAAATTCCACACATGGTTTTGGGCCCAAAATGTTCCAGTTCATTAAAGACCAATTCTTGGTTACTTTCCTATTCAAATTTCTTTAGAAGTCCTTCCAGCACACTGAACAGGCCCAGAGGAAGGTGAATTTTTCCCTTTAAAAGAAATAAATAGTAGTCTGGATAGGCTATGCTCAAACTGAATGCCTTCCGGCATTAGTTACTTCATAAGTTTTGCTCTTGAAAATATTAGTTTCCAAATGTATTCTTCAAGTATACCTTCCTCTTTGTTGGCCCTCTAATGGAACCCAAGAACTTCTTTGTCATTTCTGCAAATGTATCTGTAATTCCTGCTATGATAAGGCTCAAGAGGAATGATGATTATTAATTTTAGTATACATTTATTAATTATAATTTGTAACATATGTCTAAATATTTGAAGTATCTCGCTTTATCTTTTCATTTCACCATCCTAAATGAATAGGAAATGGGTCCACCCGGGCCTGCCTTTCCAGCAGAAATATCGACTTCTCCTTTCCCACCCTTGGTTTCCCAACAGCGTTCTTCACGCTTCTGCTCACTGTCACTCTGTCCAATCTTTAATCGAGAGGGTACGGAGGCCAATGCTGCCGCCGTTGCCGGAGACAAGCTCATATTGTTATTGCTCTGAAAAACACCATAAAAACCGAGTTGCAAAGGTTTAAATTCGAACACGAACGACGGAGCAAAGGGGGGAAAATAAGGAGGCCCAAGTAGAAAAGCGAACTTGATGTCGATGATCGCTCCGTTGCGATACTTGATGTCGCCAAAGAGACGAAATATGGCGGGTTCTCTGTTACTTGGTACGCTTCTCTATCGCTCTCTCTTCTGTCATGCTTGTAAACACTTAATGTCTCGATCTTCAATCTTTTCGACTACTGACAAAATCCTTGTTGCTTTAAATCACTCTACATCTGCACCTCATACACCCCACTGGAATAGTCTTTCAGAATTCTCCTTCAACGCAAGTTTCACGAAATCATCGGCACTTTGGTCGACATCGTTGTCTTCTTCGTCTTCTCTTTCAATTGTACCGGATTCTTCGTCGAAACCCATTTCAAATCCCCTCTACAATTTCCTTGCCCCTACCCAGAACCCCAATAATATAGTCAGCCTCATTTGTTCAAGCCTTAAACAGAAAAGTTTTCACCTTAATCTTCTTCAGAATGATATCAAAGATATTCTTCCACATATGGGTCCCCGTGAAATTTCAAAGATTTTGCTGAGGTGCCAGTCTGACTGCTCTTCGGCTCTAACTTTTTTCAATTGGGTTAAAAATGACTTGGGCATCAGACCCACTGTTCAAAACTATTGTATAATTGTTCACATACTTACTTGGTCACGAATGCGCCCACAGGCCATGAAATTGTTGTCAGAATTAATACATTTAGTTGAGCAAGTTTCTCCCAAATGAGGATGTATTTCAAAATCTTGTTGCGTGTACTGAGGATTGTAATTGGAGTCCTCTTATCTTTGATATGCTCACCAAGGCTTATCTTAAGGTGGGTATGGTTGAGAAGGGATTAGGAACTTTCAGAAAAACCATAGAGGCTGGTTTTATCCCTAGTGTTATAGTCTGCAATTTTCTGTTAAATGGGTTATCCAAATTTAATTATATTGGTCACTGTTGGGAAGTATATGAAGAGATGGGAAGACTTGGGATACACAGGAATGGTCACACCTTCAACATTTTGACCCATGTTCTGTGCAAAATTGGAGATACAAATAAGGTGAATGGATTCCTGGAGAAGATGGAAGAAGAAGGATTTGAACCTGACTTAGTTACGTATAACACACTGGTTAATAGCTATTGCAGGCAAGGAAGGTTGGGAGATGCATTCCATCTGTATAAGATCATGTACAGGAGGGGTGTGATGCCTGATTTGATTACGTACACAGCCTTGATGAATGGCCTCTGTCGAGAGGGGAAGATCAGGGAAGCTCATCAACTTTTCCATAGGATGGTTAACAGAGGGCTAGATCCTGACATTGTGTCATATAATACTCTCATATTTGGTTACTGTAAAGAAGGTAAGATGCATGTATCTAGATCGCTGTTGTATGATATGATTGGAAATGGGGTTTGCCCAGACAGTTTCACTTGTAGGCATATCGTTGAAGCATATGGAAGAGATGGAAAACTGCTTGCAGCATTGAATCTGATTGTGGAGCTTCAGAGGTTTAGAATTAAGATTCCTAATGATGTATTTGATTATCTTATTATCGCATTGTGTCAGGAAGGTCGACCTTTTGCTGCCAGAAATCTTTTAGAAAGAATCTCTCATGATGGTTATGTGCTAGAAAAAACCACATACAATCAAATTATTGAATCCCTATGTGTAGTTGATAATGTGGACGATGCGGTAGTATTAAAATCTGAGATGATAAAGAAGAGTATGAAGCCAAATCTCACAGCATATGGAGCTATTATAAGCTGTTTGTGCAGAAACAACAGGAATTGGGAAGCTGAAAGGTTATTGGAAGAAATGGTTAAAATGGGTTTTCTACCTGATAAAGAAATATGCAGGGCGCTAATCAAAAGTTGTTGCAAGGAGAGGAATGTTGATAAAGCAGAGTCATTATTGAAATTATTTGCCAAGGAGTTTCAAGTTTACGATAATGAAAGCTACAATGCAATTGTTGAAGTCTCTTCTGAGATTGGTCAATTTACCGAGTTGATGGAGCTTCAGGATAGGCTGCAAAATGTGGGATATGCTCCAAATAGTTTAACAATTAAGCATGTAATCCATGGACTGCAGAAAATAGTGAAACAAGAATAGAGAAGCCGGGCCATCGCATGCTTCAAGTGTAGCATAACTTTTGGCATAGGTTCCGTATACAGCCTCTAGGCCACCTGATGACCTGATGCATGGCATTCTTGACTCTTAAGTAAAATTATCAATGATACATGAGATCATGGGGAGAGGCAAACCAGAAACACCTGATTTGGTCACACTCAGGATCGTTAAACAATGAATTGGGTCTATAAATTGAGGATTGGGTAGACATGATAGCTTGCAGTAAAACACTGCGGACTCACTGGGATCAATTGCAATATATTGACCAAATTTTCACACGTTCCAACTTTTCTGACAGAGAAGTCAGAGCAACGCCTTGGAACGAAATATTAAAAAAGGATATTTTGGGGTTGGTTTCTGTGTTTCTGTGTCAGCTTTGGAGAGCCTTTTGTTCTTCATTCAACATGTCTCACCACTTACCAACGTGTAATAGGGGTGCTGTACGGAAGTGGATTCCAACTGTTATTGTGGCCTGGTTTATTTTGGAGGAAATCAGAGGTTGGCAACATTTTTCAGGTATTACATCTCAATTTAATATAAAAACTAAATAATTAATTTAAAAATATTAAGAAATTAGTTAACAAATATGTATTGAAACTATTTTTGGTAGGATTCTCTTACCATCAATAAGGATATTTTTTTAAAAAGTTATAAATTTATGAAACAAAATAAAATGAATCTTATATTTTGAATTAAAATTTAACTTTCTGACATTAACAAGGATTGATTTACTAATCACTCACAACACAACGAATTAAAATTCAAATTCCTATTAGTGAGGGTTTACATTTAGTGACCTATATTAATTAAGAACCAGAGATAGCCTATAGTATTAGAGTTCTTAATTTTCCTTGCGATATTTGATTTGAGACATGAACGATTTTTGGATAGATTCTCTTGAAGTTTGGGGGGGGGGGGCACATTTATCAAACCTGATGTGCCATTCCAGTGAAGACAAAAACACTGGTTGTTATGGTCACATTAAAGTAAAATTCTATGGCTGGGGGTCAACTTCAAGAGAAGGATTAGTTTATGGGAGAAATTTAAGGCTGGTTTTACTCAAACATGTTTCCTGCCGAAGTTTTTGAGTTTATATCGTATTGCATTTTGGAGCGTGGGAGATAAGTCTATTTCTTTTTTGGTTCTTAATATAAGACCTAATTATTAAGTTAATTTTAATTCTAAATATAAGACTTATTTATCATATTTGTCAGTTTTTTCTATCCCTCAAACATAATCAAGTATATCTGAAAACAACACACCTAAACAAAAACTCTTTTTGTTATTGAAAAGCACTTTTACACTCACCCAAACACTTTCTTAATGGTAGCTGCAGACTGCAGTCTGTTACTCGGTGATTTTTTTTTTTTTGTTGGTGGGCGATAAGTGCTTGAAGGCTTGATTGCTCTCATTTCATCACTGTTCTCTCCCAAATTTTCCAACTCGTTTTCCTTGAAATGTGGAAGACGATGGTATCCCTTGTATTTGCTTCTTTTGTTGTTCATTAAGAACTTTGCTGTTTTTCTCAATGAGATGGGTTAGATCTGAAGATTAGACGATAGAAGCACTACAGCTATGCGTTTTTCGCCGTTTCAATCAACAACGACAAACATGGCACAATGATTCTGCGGTTCCGCCTCTTCCTTCAAATCACGAAGCTTGCAGGGAGGCCCACGAAAGGAAAAACTCTTCATATCTTTTCTTTCTTTCTTTTTTTTTTTTTTTTTTGCCTTCCCCTGATGTCATATTATTCCAAGAAGATGCAACGAGGAAAAATAAATATTAGCCCGAATGAAATTATAAGATAAAGGGGTTGTTGGTGCATAACAAAACAGCCATTGAACTAAATTCGTAAATTGCTGTATCAGCGTCGGTCACTCTTAAGTAATTTGCCGAGAAAATAATGCTTTTTTGCAAGATAATAAAATGCGGAATGAAGTGAAAACAAATGACCCATAAACAGATCGATCCATTCAGAGAGCGTCATAAAAACACAATATTAAATAGTTTTTCAATAAAATCAATCATGTCATTCTGAATCATGAATCGTTTCCGCGTGTAATAATAATTTTATTAAAATCCTGATTGTAAATATCAACCAAAAAAACAAACTACCTATATTCGGTATATTCCCAAAGTGAACAAGCAGAAGTTGCAAAGGAGCAAAAACTACCCCGCTTTATATATTTTGCATGCATAGATCCAAAATATTTGCTATGTAACATCAATCGTGTTCAACAGAGTTTTTAACTTTAAATCTTTGACCCTACGAATACCTAGGCTGCAAAAACAACAGGATGCACCATTCAAACTATACCACCCAATACAGGCGGCAGCAAAAAAGAACGAAAGATCCCTCTTACATGTCTTGAGCGTTAAAAAGTAAGCACATGGGAAAATGAATTTTTAGAAATTGTTAAAAAAGGCTCCTGAAAATTAGAATTTAAAAGATTAAACATTTTACCTCGCTGTACAAATCTGACTATCAGCAGATCCTCAACAAACACTGCCTTCAGGTGATTGTTCGGCAGAAGTTTGACTGCACTGACGATCCTCACCTGTTTCCGTGTGCTCCGAACTATTTTTAGCTCCAGAGTTTAGGGTTTCGTCGTCTCCTGATGCAATACTTTCCGCCATAACATGGTCTTCTTCTGGCTGATCATCCGTATGCTCCGAACAACTTTTAACTCCAGAATCCAAAGGGTCTTTATCCCCAGATATATTAGTGTCTTGCATAACTTGGTCTTTTTCTTTTGGTTGATCGTCTGTATCGATGGGCTCCTTGGAAGCAGATACTTTTCTTACAGTGCTAGAATTACTAGGCGTGAGCCACATAAATTTGAGATGATGATCCTTCCAGCTTTTCCCATTAGTGAATGCCCTCTCAGCTGCCTGACGCGTAGTGAAGCTTACACGAGCCTCCGACTGGCTACTGTCATGGTCTCCCACGTCCTCTAGCTCTACCGCAGAAATCTCCCCATATGGTGAGAAGTGGTCTTTCAAGACAGCAGCCTGATAGACAAATAATGAAAGCGTCAACAAACTGGCATGAAGCATAACATTATGTGTTAACCACTTGCCTTGTTCCATCCAAACTAAACACATAAAAATAAAAACAGGAAAGGACTCCATACCCAACAACGCAAATACGTGAATACAGAGGTATTAGTGCATCTTGGATGCTGACTCCATCATATCAAACGTACAACCTTAAACTATCATTTCGCTCATGGCTCACAAATACGGTCCATATTCACAATACTGTCATACTAAGGCCAAATCTAAAAGTATGTTAGGGAATAGGGAGGGAAAGAAGGGAGGGAATCAAAAATCACAAGTAGAGATACATGGGGAAAGAAGGAACAAAGAAATTTTTCCTTCCCTCCATCCATTAGTAACAAAACAAAGGATTGAGTCGATCCTTCTTTGACTCACTTTCCCTTCTAAATCTCTCACCCCAAAAAATGCATAAGATATGAATAATAGAAGCAAAGCACTATGCCCTTGGAGCACTGTTTCTTCTGGAGGGAACTGATATTTAAGGAACTCAGTTTCTGATCCAATCAAGGACCTGGGGGAGAAGCTTATAATAAAAATTTGAATATTTCTCACAAATGATTGCATGCCATTGACACGTTGGATTTTATAAGACATCATGAAATTAATCAAGTCTCATATGCAAGACATTATAGTCGTTGAACATATAAAGAACACTAAAACCTCTTAAATCATACTTCACCTGCAAAGAATTGTTTGATTTAATAACATCAGCAACTACTGATCCAGACAGCAACACTGATCACCCAACTAGTTTCTTTCGTTTTCTTTTGGATATATGGTTCCAAAACTTATCAATCAGTTAATAGGTAAATTTCAAAATGAGATTCTTCAACATCATTTTCATGGTTCTTGAGCATGTGTAGCTGAAAGCAGGTAATTATCAAATGTCTGCTTTTCAAATGTGATTTGGATACATCATATTTAAGTCCCCAAAAAAAATATGGAATAACAAGAGGTGAGAAAGAGATCATGACCAACCCCATGAAGTTTGTCGCAAGCAGCACTAACCACTATTTCTTGTCTAAATCCATATTCCCTCATTCATTCTTTTTCTTCCTCTACCTATACGAGTAAAAATACTTAGTATTTCATTAAGCAAAATATTTAACGTATCTTTAACAAACATTTTGGGCAGTCAACTCTCCTTGTTAATCAACAGTACGGTACATTGCAATAGTCTTTCTGGTACTTACCACTAACTTCTCATTTCTCTGAAAGACAACTAAAATCATAGGGTACGAAATAGGTTGGACTGCTTTTGGCAAATCTGCCATATACTGTTCTACCATGCGAGCATCTAACGGGATTTGTCTCGATAATGAGTCAGATTAAAACATGATGAAGTAAATAAAAGCATATGATGAATTAATTATCCTTCTATATAACGAGAGTAAGAGGACTTACATCTGCTAGTCCGGCTGGTAAAGGGGAGGTGATTTTAAATGAAGTGGGACGATTGTCCAATTTGTATCTATTTACAGGTGCATATGGTCGAATTGGCACTTTGGCTGTGGATTCTTGATGTGCAATTATTGCAGTTGCTTTCGGACTTTGAGATACAAGGGTTCCCAATGTATTGTTCTTATCACTTATTGTCTCTGCATGTGGAGATGCCATACAAAAGCCAGAATCAGACAATTGAGAAGTCAGTTTAACATCAGCTGACACGCCTGTTTTGGGTCTCTTGGCAGCTTGCTCAGTAACTACTTCACCCTTGAGTCCCGTGGCCTGCAAAAGATCAAAACATCAAGGATTTATTTGTGAATGATCAATTCAACTCAATTAGAAGTCTTAAATGAAGGCTCATATTGGTTTCAATTGACATCTACATTGCACTATCTTCAACTAAAAGCACATCTGAGCTTGAAGCCCACTCAGAGACAGGCCCACCATTTCTGCCGCTGAAACTCAGTTTAATTAATAGAATCGGGGTTGAAAGGATCAAACCCTATAGTTTAGATCACTTGGTCTTGAATACTATGTCCACAATCAATTCAAATTGAAAGCTTAAGCTATTAATTGAAGGTTCTTGAGATTTATTTTAGTAATTCTCCGAAAATATGACACAATGGAAGAGAGTGGCATCTTAACATGCTTATATACAATTAGAGTAGAAACTTTAGTAAATGTAGCAGCAGAAAGATATAATTTATAAGGGATCCTTCTGTGTTGTTCATGCAAAAAGAGTGAAAAAAATGTGGGAGGGGGGAGACAGAAAGGATCTAAACAAGCATGCATAGTTAAAATAGTGTGAAGACTTTAGTTTTTAC